TTTGCACTCAGGAATCACTCCTGGCAGTGCTGGGGTGTGTGGGGGGGGTGCATGTGGGATGCTAGGAATCGAACCCGGGTTGGCCACTTGCAAGGCAAACGCCCTACCCGCTGTGCTATTGCTCCAGCCCCTAATATTTCTTTTTTTATGTAAATAAAAAGTATAGAATTCCTAATAATCTTTTAACAACTTAGGCCTTGACCTGCGGCCTTACTTGGGAAAGCAGATAAAAGGTGTTTTTGAAATTCATTTCCTTGTAAGGCAAAAGTGAAAACAAATGCACTACTATTTAATATAAGTCCACTATATTCCAGTTACTGCAAATGATAAAGACTTAACATATGCAACTGCCAAATGCGTATATATATGCAGTTTCCATTAGTATGTGCTCTCGATTTATAAGAGACTCTTACATGTTATCTTTTTGTATTATATAGTAAAATAATTTTATTTTAAACAAATTCTTCTATTTCTAGAGTACACACTTACTTTTATATTTCTTTTACAGATTAAAATTTTACTTTATTTTATGTTAGGAGCAAATAAACTAATGTAAATATGAACATTTCAGTCACTAAAGGGTCCAAGAGACTGAATATTTACATAAAAGTCATTTACGAAAATACTTAGAGCATGCTAATTGGCTAGAGGGAAGAACTAAAGAACCCACTGAAAGTAAAAACATCTCGGTAGGCCATCCATCATCGCTTTATTTGTCCCTGTAAAGACTAGAAACACAAGCGTTCACTTAAGACAAGTAATGGTCTCAAAAATTAGTGTGACAATTTAATTATGGCAAGGATAAAAAACGCAGAAGATAAATTCTTCTAAAGTTAATGCGAACATTTTTAATATACACCTTTCATAACTCAACTGGTTTACCTCCCAACAGGTCACCTAATTCAATTAATTGCCTGAATGATTTGCATCGAGTCTAACAATGTAATTCCCGCCTCCATCCAAAGCCATGGGCACTTTATTTATTTATTTTTAATTGCAGTTTGACTTATTTATGACCGAGGAAGAGCTGGTTTGCAGTTATTTATGAATCGTCCAGAAAACAGTCACCGTGATCCTGCATCAGGCCGAGGACTGGCTTAGAGCAGTTCCCCCCCCAGTGGGTCCTTGTTCTGCACCGCCCTGGACATACACACATATGCGGGCTGGGACGGATTGTCCAGTTTCAGATGGGCAGAGCGCCTGATGCATTCAATAGCAAAACTGCTTCTTCTGAGTCATGAAATTTACATACAAGTGGTACTACATGGAAAGTATCATGTTAAGCGAAATGACTCAGAAAGAAAGGGATAGACATAGAAAGATTGCATTCATCTGGGGAACAGAAAGTAACAAAATAGGAGACTAACACCCAAGAATGGCCGAGATTAGTACCAGGAATTTTACTCCATGGCTTGGAGGCCAGCCACACATGCTAGGGAAAAGGGAGCTCAGATAGAGAAGGGAGCACCAAGTAAAGGGTGTTGGGAGGATCCTCCCAGGATGGGAGAAGCATGCTGAAAGTAGACTATAGACCAAACATGATTGTCACCCATTGCCTCTTTTGCAAACCACAACACCCAACAGGAGAGAGAACAAAAGGGAATGCCCTGCCACAGAGGCAGGGTGGGATGGGGGGATGGGAGGTGGGAAGGATACTGGGATCCGTGGTGGTGGGAAATGGGCTCTGGTGGAGGGATGGGCATTTGATCATTGTATAATTGAAACCCAAGCACAAAATTTGTACGTCTACAACTGTACCTCATGATGTCTCACTAATAAAAAAAAATTAAAAAAAAAACCCAAAAAACTGCTTCTTCTGTAGTTTCAGACTATGAGAAGGGGCTTCCTTCAGACACAGGTTACCGTGTCCCAAGGCTTCCTGTTGCACCCTGTCCCGGGAGAGCCCACCAAAGAATGGAGGAATTTGAGAGCTCCCAAGAGGGGCATGGGGGAGTGGGTTGCTGAGCCCCTGAGTCCTCCCGAGCGCTGAGGTCTCGTCTGACTGACCCATCCCTAGGCCTGGGAAATGTCTTTAGACGCTGGGGAGTACATCGGTTGACTGATCTCTGCTGTTCTCTTTCTTATGGGCTGACATTGCATGCACTGCAAACATGTTATGCTCATGAGAGAATTCCTATCAGCATGTCTGTGTGTCAGTCCCACAGAGTTTTGTCCTGAAACTGCAGTAAAAGCGAGAGTCTCATTCTGTGTAGATGCCCCTTTGCTTGGGTAACTAAGAACTTGATTTGAGATCTTTCTTCACTCACTATTAAATGTCTTGATTTACACATTCTTTTAACTTTCCTTCTATTTTTTTCTTTTTTGCTTTTTGGGTCACACCTGGCAATGCACAGGGTTTACTCCTGGCTCTGCACTCAGGAATTACTCCTGGCGGTGCTTGGGGGACCATATGGGATGCTGGGAATAGAACCCGGGTTGGCAGCATTCAAGGCAAACCCCTTACCCATTGTGCTATTGCTTCAGCCCCTTAATTATCCTTCTGAGTGCCTCTTCACCTTGATTGCTTTTGTCTCCTAGTTTTGGGGGATTGGGCCACCCCCTAAATATCACTAAGGCTTACTCTGGACGCTGTGCCCAGCTGTCACTCTTCACAGTCCCTGGAGAATATGTGCTGGGCTGGGGATCACACTGGGTGAGGGGCATTGCTTGCTTCAGTTCTTTAAATTAATTTTAAGTAGATTTTTAAAATGAACTTTTTATTCCCACCATATTGCTTGGAGAAAGGTGATCTATAAATGAAGGCATAAATATTAAGTTGTAGCAGTTTCACAGAAATGCACTAAGGGATGTTCGAGGATTAGGAAATATTTTCAGTCTCCTCAAATGTCCCTTGGTGAGAAACCCCTTTACTCTACAGCTGAATTTTGGAAGGAATGTAGGGTGCAGACTTCTCCCTAACGCCCACTTTATTCCCCCTGGGTGTGTGTTTGAACAGCCTCAGCTATCAGGAGCAAATGCCCACAGAGAGAAAGAGGTCCCCGAAGGATCACTGTAAATAAAGCATCTGACAGCAATTAAGGCCTCTGAAGGGAAACAGCAGTCTCTCAAGAGTGCTCTACCCGCTCAGAGGTTGCATATCCTCCTTAAAAACAGAAACAAACAATAAACCCCACACCAATGAAAACGATTGAGCAGTGCTTTCAAAGAAATAGAGGAACAACAGTGAAGAGTGCCCAGTTCTATTGTAGTCAGGAGCATCAAATAAAATCTCCAAAGCAAAATAATTACTTGGGCATTGTTTCTCAGAAATTTCAGATCTATCTTTAAGGCGAAACAGCACATGCATGAAACAACGTTGATGAAAAAAATCTTTAAGAAAGCACTCAATAATCAGAGGAGAACTGGAGAATCCAAATATAGAAACTGTAACTCCAAGGAGGGAATTACAGTAGAAAAATACGCAGGGAAGTAGAGTTATAGATACAGACACAGATTTAGACGTAGATAATGGATGCTAAATTTAAATCAACCAGATTTACTAGCAAATAGAGTTGTATGAAATGAAATGAAAGGATTCAAAGATAGGCGTTAAAAACAATTTTCTTGATTGGGCATCGGCTTACACCAGAATATACGCACGTTGTTGGGCCCCCGAAAGTCAGGCCTAGAGCTAGACCACAGCCCTGACAGGCCGCAGCTAACGTTAAGTTTTGACTAGGCCTAAGTTTCTGTTTCCCAGAAACTGAACTCACAATTTTTGGTAAGGAACTGCTAGAACATCTGACTGGTCATGAGGGGTCACTATGTCCATTTTTTGGAACAACCACAAACGGACTGTTACTATGTCCATTTTTTTTTGAACAACCAGAAACTGACTGTTATCAAATATTGACTAATTGCTGACAACTGTTGCTTGGTCACTTCTATCATAGTGCTCGCTCAACCTTGGAACCTATACAAACTGCTTGCACTTGGAGGTCGGGGTCACTATCAAGAGACCACCTTGTGGGTGAGATAGTTGGTTGACCCCCGTTGACTGAAACGGAACTTCTTTGCACTTGCATTACTGTCTCTCTGGCTCTGTGTCCGTTCACGCCGTGACCTGAAAACCCAGGTACAACATTTGGGGGTACTTTAAGCTCAGGTTCCCCGTGGCACTGAGGAGAGAAAAGCAAACATCTACTTTTCTCACAGTGAGATCTACCCATTTGCTCTGGGTCCTAGTCAAAAGAAGCATTATATTCTGTAGAGATAGAATATACAGTTCAACAACATCAAATCTAACTTATTTGGTTCCAAATTGAAAGCCTCGATTTTTCAATTATCTAAGAGCACTGTAGCAGGAGTCTGGATACTAGGACAATTCTACAGATAATTTAAAGAGTTTCTCATAACAATATAGCTTGATTAGTTTCTTTCCTTAAAATACCTCAAGCCAACATATTTCTTTACATTCCCAAGCCTTCTACACATTCCCTTACGTTCATTTTGTCCTGGAACCTTTCTTCAAAACCAGTTTCACTTTAACAGGATTCATTTCCTTTTCCTCACCAATGATATCTCCATCCATCATCCGTTTGACTTAAAATATACACTTCTATTCCTTCCTTATAATCATATCTCACAGTTTTTAACCTTATTTTTACTGAACTTAAGATAGTTTGATCTACCAAGGAATTTGGAAACAAGTTGCTAATCATTATCTCAATGACCTGACTAAGCTGTTCTCTGCAGCGCTCCTTTTAAAAGCATTACACCAGTGCCATAGATAGTCAGAAGGTTCATAATCAAAGGTCTTATAACACAGGATTCCGAATTCTAGTTAAAATCCTCCCAAGGTTCATATATTTCATTTACCTACATATTCCTTCAATCTTTGCCCACTTCATCACTTCCAGTGGACTGCATTTTGTGTTTTATTTCATTTTAAAATGACTCTCCTTGTATATTACAGTTATACTTTGCAGAGCATGTAGGTGCTCGCAGAAGTCCTTGGCTGGGTCTGTGTGGGGTCTGGCTCCCTGAGTGTGGCCTCTTACCTCCAGTCGCCTTCAGCTTGATGGTCATCAGCTCCTCTGAAACCTTGCCCTTTTTGATGGCTTGTGCATTTAAAGGACATCCAGATAAGCTGTGAAAATAGAAATCATACCGACGTGTGAAATTTATATTATTAATTCAAAACGAAATGTCTATTATTAGCTAATACACAATTCAAATTTGGCTCACTATTTGCTAGTTTTTGCTCACTAATTACATCACCCAAAAGTTTTTGGTACAAAGTTATATGTAAATATTTATTACAATAAAAACTGGGGCTGGAGAGATAGCAGAGGGGTTAGGGCACTTGTCCTGCCCATGGCCGACCTGGGTTGATCCCCGGTACCACGTATGGTTCCAGGATCACTGCCACGAGTGACCCTGAGCACAGAACCAGAAGTAAACTCTGAGCACCACCATTTGTGACTCCTTAACCTCCAAAGAAAACCCCAAACACACACACGCAAACAAAACAAAAACAGAAAACAAAAACAGAAGCCCTCAAATAATGTAAAACCTGTTTGGGGGAAGGGTCTACTCCTGATCACTAAGGAGTGATCACTCAAGGCAGTGCTCAGGGGACCTTCCACGAGGTCCCCTTTAATCATGTTGGTGATTAAAATGGGGTGTGGTGAAGCAACTGAATGCAAGTATCTTACTTAGCCAGTGTACTATCTCCCCAGCCTCCAAATATTTTCTTTAAAATCAAACCACAAACAGTACTGATACTATTGTTAATTTTTAAAGAATGATACTATTGCACATGCACAGAGGGGCGTTTTATAGTTGTTGTTTTATTTTCTGTAACTGTAAAACTGTACATATAAATTGTGAGTAAGAATTCTAGTCTAGTAAAAATTCTATGAATAATAAAGCAGAATCAAGTGTTGCCTGTTTTGATGGAACTACGGTAGCTTGAGCTTCATAGAGTCATTCAGAAAGATACAAGATCCGACCTCTTGCCACCACAACCTAATTTGGGGCATGGAATAGTTTACAAATGATCATTTAAATTTGAAAGTGTTGTTTTCATCAAAATTAATCTCTTCCTAGAAGAGACAATGAAAGAATCACTAGACGCATATTCAGAAGCAATCACTGCTCAAAGGTGTCCATTACCCTGTAGTGGGATATAGCTATCCTTCCTTTAATAGCTATACTTGCCAGCAGTATTCTTTCTTAATACAGCTGTTTTATTTAAATCGTACCCAAATTATGACAACAGTAAAAAAAGAAAAAAACAAAAAACCTGGAAATTTTCACAGTACAAAGTCATGTGATTTTATTGCTCGAAGCAATAGTTCTTTTTGAATTCTACTGGAACTTTGGAGACAGGATGTTCAAGTTTAAAATGATCAAAATCGATCCTTTTACAACTTTTAAAAATATTTTCCTAAGTTTGAGAGATAGAACAGATATGAAGTGCGTTCCTTGCGTGTGGCTGACTCTGGTCCAATCCTTGCCACTATGAATTGTCCCCTGAGTCCTGCCAAGTCCTCCCAGCACATAATCAGTGGTCAGTCCGGAGACTAACAGGTGTGGCTCAAAAACACTTAAAAATCATCGAAAAAGTCCTTCCCAACAGAACAAAAAAAAATTCCAACATTTTCCCCAAGTCAAATGTAAAGAGTAACTACATAATTGGAGAAAAAAAATCTGCAAGCTCTTTGTCACAGGTTACCTTTTACAACAAAGTAGAAACTATCTCAAAGATTCCTGTGTTCATAAGAGTGAAACCATGGAATCAACTTTCATTCCCCTTGGTGAGACTAGATATAGAAGTCCTTCTGTCTATACTCAGGAGAATACCACTCAGTTTCTCAAAAAGAAAATCTTGCCTTTTGCCACAACAAAGTGGAACTTGTGAGACTAAGTTCCAACTAAGAGAAATTAGCGAGGAAGTAAAAGCCACATAGTTTAACTCAATGTGGACTGGATAGCACAGCGGTAGGGCGTTCGCCTTACAAGCGGCCAACATGGTCGACCCGAGTTCGATTCCTCCGCCCCTCTCGGAGAGCCCGGCAAGCTACCAAGAGTATTCGATATGCCAAACACAGTAACAAAAGTCAACAAATATATGTAAATATATAGAAAATATAAAAATATGAAATACGAATATATAAAAATATATAGAGTTCTTAGCCTTTGTAAAAATATATTAGGCATAGCAGAGTTTGAAGAGAGGGAGGGTAAAGGAATAATTAATCGGATTTGTTGTGATTGTACTAGAAAGGTAAACATAAACACACACCAAGGGGCGCACTTGTACTTCCAATATTATACGATAAAACAATAATAAATAAAAAAAAGCTAATTTGAAAATAAAAAATATTTTTCAGAAAAATCTAGTTACAGTTCATGATACAATATTTTTTTTCAGTTCAAATATTAGGACATTTTCCTAAATAAAAGAGAATACTTGGGAAGCTGAATGTTTGCTGAATGAACATATTTAAAAAAATTCTGTTGTTGCCTATGAATACTCTATAAAACATAAGAACAGTTACTGCACGATTTAATAAATAGAAAGGCATGGGGTTTCTAATTCTGATAAAATACTGAATTTTTACAAAGAAAAAGAAAAAACTCAAAAAAGTACAGACTGAAGTTTGAATCTGGTTTTCTCGTTTGGAAGAAATTTCTATCTCCTTGGCAACGGTCACCTACATAAACGTCATAATCTCTGCTTTTTCGTTTCTGGAAAGTTTTTCCGAGTCTGTCCTGCCTGATGTCACATACTATGCTCTCAGCAAACAGTCAAGGGCAGGACTGACGTGTAGTTGGTGAACTGAACTTCCTTCGTAGCATGCGTAATGTCTGTAGTGTACAGGATGCCGATATCCCATAAGCATTCTCTTCTCTCCTAATGGAGCTTCTTTTCTCAGACAACTTTTCAGACAAAGCCCAGCTGTATCACTAGTCTGTGAAAAATTAAGAAAAATTTACAGCTGTTGGACTTCCAGCCTTAGATAAGACACAGCTCTGGTATGGAGAACATGAGGCTCCGGTTTAAAAACTGCTTTATTTTTGTTTCGAAAAAAGTATTTTATTAAGCTAAGGGAGATCCAAGAAGTGTCAAGGGTTTTCAAAAAAAACTCTTGTGAGTTTTTGTACAAGGGGCTCATTTTTGTGAATTTAATCAGGATATGCTTATTGTAGTGTGAAGACATGTAGGGGGACTGACATAAGGAGACAGAGATGAAAACGTTATTAGTGTAAACTGAGTTTTCACTAAGTAAATAGACACAGCTATATCCTGCGGGTTAAGAAAAGGAGAATGGCTGGGTGTGACTTTTTTTGGGATTTGAGCAGCATAGGAGAGAGAGAGAGAGAGAGAGAGAGAGAGAGAGAGAGAGAGACCAAAAGAGTGAAAAGGAAGAAAGTCTGGAAGGAAGGAAGGAAAGAGGGAAAGGGGAAGAGAGAAAGGGAGAGAGAAAAAAGAAATAATGGAAAGAGAGAAAGAGAAATAGAAAAAGAAAGAGAGGGGGCTGGAGCGATAGCACAGTGGGGAGGGCGTTTGCCTTGCATGTGGCTGACTAGGGTTCGATTCCTGTCATTCCATATGGTCCCCTGAGAACCACCAGGAGTAATTCCTGAGCCCAGAGCCAGGAGTAACCCTGTACATCACGGGGTGTGATCCAAAAAGCAAAAATAGAAAAAAGAGGAAATAAAAAGAAAGAGAGAAAGAAGGGATGGAAGAAAGAGAGGAAGGAAGGAAAGACATACGTCTATCATTGGTTAGAACACATTATTTCAGTGTAAGTCATTCTGATTGTAATCTATTAGGTAATATTTACATTTCTTAGTATAACCTTAACTAAAAAGAAAAGTTTCTGTCGAACACCTGTTATGCATCAATCAACAAGCTAGGCAATTTGAAAATTGTTTTATTCAGTTCTAGATACATCTAAAATATTGACCTAAAGGAAAACACCCCCAGATGAACTTAATCTCTTCAACATTTTTGCTGTTGTAGCTGAGAAGGTGGCCCCGATCCACACTCAGAGGACCCGGGGTCCCCTCCCAGCAGTACTCAGGGGCCAAAGTGGTGATTCACTGCAAGGACATGGCGTTCCTGGGCTCCTGCGGGCTGGGGATGCAGGGGTCCCGCCTGGGCGCTGCTGGTGGGCGGGAGGTGTCAGCAGCTTCTCTAAGGTCAGGCGAGACTGCGCCCTGCCTCAGCTAGGATCTCCTGATCCCTAAAATCTCTTAAGTGGCAAGAGAAAGCCCTCACGAAGAACCGTGAAATCTGAATTATTCATTTACAGAAACTCTTCCTGCTTTCCTTCCATAGAAAACGTATTCTGAGCATGAATATTTCAGCTTGTATTTTAGACACATCGTTTCTTCCTTTTTATGAGAAATATGTGTACACAGACACGTAAAACATATCTAGGGTTTAAACATCACTCTTCCCCTTGGGAGCCTGTGGTGGGCTGCCGGGTCAGAGCGGACTGTGCTCAGGGCTGACTCCGGGATCACTCCTGGAGGTGCTCAGGGCTGACTCCTGGCTCTGTGCTCAGGGCTGACTCCTGGCTCTGCACTCCGGGATCACTCCTAGAGGTGCTCAGGGCTCACTCCTGGATCTGTGCTCAGGACTCACTCCTGGCTCTGTGCTCACGGCTCACTCCTGGCTCTGTGCTCACGGCTCACTCCTGGCTCTGTGCTCATGGCTCACTCCTGGCTCTGCACTCTGGGATCACTCCTGGAAGTGGTGCTCAGGGCTGACTCTTGGCTCTGCATTCTGGGATCACTCCTGGTGGTGCTCAGGGGACCGTATGTGATTCTGGGGGTTGAACTGAGGTTGCCTGCATGCAAGGCAAGTGCCACACCTGCTGTACTCTTTATCTTGTCCCTAGGGGTTACTGTTCAAGTAAATGTTTGCTTTCAAATGCAACAGCCCTATTAATGCCTTTAATGCTCCTTGGGCCCATCAACATGGGTTTCTTCCATTCCCCAGAGAGAAGCGGTAATTCGAATTACAAATAATTACCCATTTATCTAAAATTGATTTTGTGATTTTTTTTTTTACTTTTTATGGACAGAGTCATATTACACATATTACGCTGCATTTTTTTTTCTGCTCAGCATTGTGTTCTGAAATTCACACACACCGGGCCTTCTATTATACGACTGTGGGCCCCCATGTGAGAGCTACTGTGTCCACTCTGGATTTATTCACACAGATCTTGGTGGACATGTGCAGTATTTGCAGCCTGAATTAGTGGAACAAGCCACCAGCGGCATTTTCAGACGTGTTCTCTGCGCTCCAAGTGAAGGAGGTTCTCTGGGTAAAAGCCTGTAATGGCTCAGTGATGGGGCACACACAATTTATTTGCCCACTTTTAAGTTGACTCCTGAAGATAATTTGCTTCCAAAGTAGCTTTACCAATTATCCTCCACGTGTGGCGAGAGCCCCCTTTCCCCACAACTGCCAAAGTACTGGTGTTGGCGTAGAGAACTTCTTCCCCATATTGGAAGATAATCATGGCTGAACAGTGTGTCCCAGCTTGACATTTCATTATCGAAATTAACAGGGACACAGAGGTCTGGGTAAGCAAAGCTACTCTTCAGTGATCGTGCTGTTTGTGCATTTGATGTGCAGTTGTACTTCCTGAGTAAGAAATGTTGGCTCTAACTCAGAAGAGTAACGTGGACATACCTGCACATCTGAAAGGCAGCAGAAGGTGAACACGAGAAACACAAGTTTTCTCTACAAACAGCTATCACTGCAGAGCCACTTAGAGTAGGAATTTCTAAGAGATGTTTTTTTTTTCTCTCCCGCCATTGGTAGGTGTCTTTAGAAATGAACCAACTGCTACGTCTGTGAGTATTTCTAGTTTTAGAGTGGCTCCTAGCATGTCCGAAGCCCTAGGTCTTATCCCTGCCCTACAGCACAAAGTGACACGCAAAGACCCCCTCCCTCTCCTTCCCGCTTCAGTCACTGGAGATCAAGAACCAAAACAAATTAAAAAAAATAAAGCACAAAACAAACTACAAAGGATTTCATAGTGTCCGAGTTCTGTTTCTTTTTAAGGAAGGTCCACAGAGGCAGTGTGGTGGGTACCTGCTTGGACTTGGCTGACCGGGCTTCAGGCTCCACCACAGATGGGAGTGACTCTGAGCACAGATCTAGCCAGGGGTGGCCACCAAACAGAATAACCCAATAAAGTTCATTCATTCATTCATTCATTCATCATCCTGTTATTTGTCGATTGCCTCGAGCAGGCCCCAGTAACGTCTCTTTCATCCTAGCCCTGAGATTATATTCAAGGCTCTTTAGGAGAATGAGACCCATCATTGTTACTGGTATTTGGCATATTTGGTGCGCCACGGGGAGTTTGCCAGACTCTGCCCTGTGGGCAGGCTACATTTGATAAAGTTAAACCAAATTCAATAAAGTTAAACCAAACCAAAAACCCCCCAAAACCCACTGAACAAAACTTCAAAATACCCCAAATTTGCTTAATTTATAGGGGTTATTAAAGTTTCACCGGACGACTAAACTCTACAGCTCAGGTTCAGAGCCCCCAAGACTGAGAAGGGCGCTCACTGACTGGCAGAATGTGGACTGAACCCTTCAGCTTCCTTCCAAAAAAGGTGGGGTCAGATGGCAGTTGTCACCCAAGGGTCCCTAGAGTATATGTCACTCAGAGACAAGACAGTTCAGCTGTCGGGAAAGGAGAAAGCGTTTTCTCAGAGCCTCTGGTCCTTCCTAGAGTGATAGCACAGTGGGTAGGGCATTTGCTTTGCACGCGGCCGACCCAGGTTCAATTCCTTCATCCCTCTCGGAGAGCCCGGCAAGCTACCGAGAGTATCTACCTGCCCCCCATGGCAGAGCCTGACAAGCTCCCCATGGCATATTCCAAAACCAGTAACAACAAGTCTCACAATGGAAACGTTACTAATGCCCACTCAAGCAAATCGATGAACAGGACGACAGAGCTACAGTGCTGGTCCTTCCGCACAACCCCGGCTGTGTCATTTTCTCTCTGGCTCTGGGGATGGCTCCCACCTTCCCAAGCAGCACAGGAGCTACAAGTTGTTCTGAACTGGGTCCAGTTCAGGAAAGCAGGAGTGACATAAACGCATACAGGGAGGGTTTACACACACCGCACTAGGGTAGATCTCATCACTCGGGGAGGGTTTACACACAACACACCAGGGTAGATCTCATCACTCGGAACTGAAGCGAACGCTCAAAGGACCTCACCACTGAAAAATGGCATCTGAAATACAGTTTTAGAACACGGAAAAAAAAGGCAGTTTCTTGAACCCTCGAAAGTGATGGAGCGGATTCTCAGAAGTAGAAAACGAGAATGTTTTTCATTCTTCAAATTAGTCAAATGTCCACTGGTCAAAAATTCATTCTTAGAATGGTGATAAATGCTTAATTTGTAGGGGTCGTTAAAGTTTCACTGGATGACTAAACTCTATAGCCCAGGTTCAGAGCCCCCGAGACTGAGAAGGGCGCTCACTGACTGGCAGAATGTGGACTGAACCCTTCAGCTTCCTTCCAAAAATGGTGGGGTCAGATGGCAGTTGCCACCCAAGGGTCCCTGGAGTATTTGCCACTCAGACAGAAGATAGTGCAGCTGCCGGGAAAGGAGAAAGGGTTTTCTCAACCTCTGGTCCTTCCTGGAACAATGCCCAGGAGAGGGTGGACCCTCCCCTGCCCACACAAGCCAGGTGCCAGCCACAACAGCACCACAGGAAAAGACAGAAAACAGACGTTACCTTCTGTGGGTGACAAACACATTGTTTACATGGCCCAGTCCATTGCAGCCGGGCAAGGGACAGTGTGGAAGCTCTTGCTTGTTCAGTTTCCAGGAGAGGGGGGGTCCGTTGAGGGGATTCTCCTTCTGCCTCTTGGCAGCCAGGGGACAGCCAGAAGCCGTGCGGTGGGATGTGTATTTGCCTGATATGTGACCTTGGCCGTCACACCCCACGACAGGACATCTAGAGAGACACAGCAGAGACATGATCAGCTGGGAGAAACTGCATCACTCACATGACCGGCAGTAACTGAGAAAATACAAAGGTGGTGGTGGTGGTCTCTACAATACCAGGGGTAAGCAGTGAAATATGAGTTTCAGAAAACGCCTTACAAAGCAGCACTGTGTTAGCAACAATCATGGCCCACAGGCTAGGAGCTAAGGAATTTTCATCTATTGTTTCATGCAATCTATTGAGGCAAAAGAAATGCGATTATACCATTATAAGTGGGGGAAACGAAACTTAGAGAACTTAGGTAACTTTTCATTTGTTTTACAAGAAATGAAGTCCGGCTGATGTCAAAGTTTCCAGCCACACTTTTTAGCTCCAGAAACACTTCTGTACAGAGCATTGCGTTGCCTCTGAACCTACAGCAGAGGTACGAAATCCCGGCTCTTTCTCCTAATTTACACAGAAAACCACTCAGAGAAGGAAGTTTGCTTCCAAATGTTTAAATATTGTATGTAGAAGTGTTGTAAAGCAAGCGATTTAAATTTAATTTTCTACATATAAATCTACATAAACAACCACAGACTTGGGAGAGTCTATCTCGGAGACAATTTTATTTCGAATGCACTATATATATAAATTAAAGTAGCAGCTGCAAATGCTGTTAAATTTGTCACTTTGAAACACTTCTGTTCATGTTATTGTCCTTAAAATAACTGGGAAACACTTTCTCCCTTTCTTTTTTCCCTGTTGCATAATCAAAAAGAACTGTATTCCCTTGGCTAGGAATGGGAAAATTTTCTTGTACCTACAAAATTCCCAACCGCTGCCTGAAGGTCCTTGTGTTCAGAGGGTTCACCACCCTGACACAGGGCAATTTCTAATCAGTGGCAACCCAACCTACCCCTCCCCTTGACCAGAGGGCCTCAGTCTTACTTGAGTTCAGAGTCTTCTTTTTCCTCCTTCATGGGAGTCATTTTGACGCCACCTTTCCTGGCCCGAGGACAGCCGGACAAACTGAAAGAAAAACCCAACGAAGAGCAAATCACAATTGTGTGGTCCCACTGGCCGTCCCCTGATGCTGAGCCCCAGAATCAGCTCCTTCTGGGGACCCGTGCCTCAGGACAACGGGCAGGGCCTGGGCCTTGGTGCGGCTGGCCGGCTCCATCCCTGGAATCCCATTTGGTCCCCCAAGGGTCAGTGCCGGAGTGACCCTGAGCATCTCCAGGTGTGGCCTCCAGAGCAGAACCCAAAGGCCGAGCTGGAATCAGGCTCCCGCTCACCTTCGGTGGGAGGCGTAGTTCCCGGTCACATGCCCAGAGCCATCACAGCCGGGGGTGGGACACCTGCAAGACAGGGGGACGGGTCACCTGGGCTGGCTGAGCAGAGTAGGGAGTCAGGGATGCTCAAACAGGGGCCAACGGAATGATCTGCTTTTCTGTGGGACTCATTTTTTGGCAGAAACATAGTCATTTTTTAAGAATCGATTTTTAAAGAAAATGTACGATATGTAATTACTGCAAAAAGCTCAGTAGAGGGGCCGGAGCAATAGCACAGCGGGGAGGGCGTTTGCCTTGCAGGCAGCAGGCCCGGGTTCAATTCCCAGCATCCCAGATGGTCCCCTGGGCACTGCCAGGAGTAATTTTGGAGTGTAGGGCCAGGAATAACCCCTGAGCATCGCCGGGTGTGACCCAAAAAGAAAAAAAAAAAGCTCAATAGAAAAGGCCTTAATTGGATGCCTTCATTCCCTCCATCCTGCTCATACATTTTCTTTTTTCTTTCTTTCTTTCTTTCTTTCTTTCTTTCTTTCTTTCTTTCTTTCTTTCTTTCTTTCTTTCTTTCTCTTTCTCCTTCCTTCCTTCCTTCCTTCCTTCCTTCCTTCCTTCCTTCCTTCCTTCCTTCTTTCTTTCTTTCTTTCTTTCTTTTTCTCCTTATTCCCTCCCTCCCTCCCTCCCTTCCTCTTTTTTCACTGTGTTGAAAATAAAAAAAATACTGGGGCTGGAGCAATAGCACAGCCGATCACCCATCTTTGGCACCCCATGGGTTCTCTTGAGCATGACCAGGAGTGATTGCTAAGTGCAGAGTCAGGAGTAAACCCTGAGCACCTCCAGGTGTGGCACACCCCCTAAAAGAGAGAAATTAAAAATACTAGCATTTACATAATAAATATTTCTAAGCAACGTGAGTTACAGCGCTGTCAGCCACAGTATTCCAGACCTACGATGTTCGACCGCATCCCATGTGAGAGTCAGTCTCCCTAGGCCCAGTTCCTCCTCTGCCTGAGTGTGCTCTACCTCACGGGCGTGTGTGAAAATGCAGAGACTGTCTTTGGGGTTTATTTTATTTATTTATTTATTTTGGGGTCACACCCGGCGATGCACAGGGCTTACTCCTGGCTCCACACTCAGAGGTTACTCCTGGCGGTGCTCAGGGGACCCTATGGGATGCTGGGAATCGAACCCGGGTCGGCCGCGTGCAAGGCAAACGCCCTCCCCGCTGTGCTATCTCTCCAGCCCCTGTCTGTGGGGTTTAGAGCTCCGCTGACGCTAGTGGCTTTGCTCCGTACAGGCTTCTCACATCTAGACTCTGATGCGTTTGGGGCGCTGGATCCTTGCTTTTCTTGTGACCTCCGGGAGGTCTTGTCTTACTCCCCCGCTATGTCTCTCTCCTTAAAAAAAAACTTGATTTCGATAGGAAACCGAAATTTATAACCCATACCTTATATCTGGGCTATGCAAAATTCTTGTCTCACCTTAAGTAAAAACAATTTTCTAGCTTGTTTTTGTGAATTACTTATTTTCTTTGAAATGCTTCACTGCTACAATAACATAAACAGGAGATCAATGAAATACATCTTTTCTTCTCCAGTGCTGAAATATTATCTGCCTAAAACTTAATTATCAATAACATTGTAAATCATACTTATTTAATGAAAAACACAAAATTTCTAAAAAATAAAAAGAAAAAAAGACTTATTCATAATAAACTATTTTATTGATATAATTCAAAAAAGAAAGTTCTACATTTTTGATGAAACAAATGCTGACTATTGCAATAGAACTTTTTAATATATGTTTTCTTTCAGTAGATTGTCAACCGTTTCTAAAATTTTTTAAATAAAATACTTAAGAACACTGATAATTATTATGAAGACATGGCAATATAGAATTTAGAATATAGAATTTAGAGCAGCTAAGTAAATCTTATTAAATATTGAATAAATATTAGTTGGTAAAGTATGTCAAATTTCTCTGTTTTCAACACACTAATTATTAATTTTTACCTGGCATCTCAAATTTCTGAATAGAAAAAGACAGCAGTAACTTTCAGGACAATAATTTTCAGAATCCACACTAGTATAACCAATTGACTTTATTTACACTTTGAAAATGAGAAAAGATGTATGCTTCACACTTACTGTTTTCTATTTTAATATTACACCTTTCATAAGCTACTTTTTAGATAAAATATAAGCAAATTAGAAAATGGAAACATTGACAAAATATTAAGAAAAATATGATATTTACCTGTGATTTAATCATATGTTGATTCTATTATTTACACAAGCAGTTTAACACTAGATTTAGCAGTACACATTTCCTTTAAGATCATTTTAAAGCAAATTTAATTAAGTTTTGGATCCCACCTAGCATTAAACTGCCAGTTTCTTGGGAGATGCCCTTCCCACCGATATAATAGAGAAAATTAAATTAGTAAGTAAAAGTTAATAAATATGTAGCTTTGAGATTCCATCATTGAGGTTGAAATGAACCAAAATTGTCTCTAGAACCCCAGAGAAATCATTTGATACAAAAGGCCCATAAATAAAATGTCATGAACTTTTCTTAAAATAGATGATAAAATGCTTTGCCACACCCTCAGATGTCTGATTTAGTACATAAATTCTGAAAGCGAATGGGAAAACTATGTCAGTTTAACTATGACATAATTTGCTTCAAAAATAGTTGTAAAGTACAAGTACAACTCCCCCCCCCCCCCCCACACACACCCAAAGAAAGTAGATTAAAGTAAGAGAATTTAAGTGATTTGGTCTTGGTTCATTAAAACTTTTGGGTGAGAGGAAGTGTTGGTTATGGCCAGGGCAGGCATGGTTTACAACTCTTGAGTGGCTACACTGGCCCTGAAAGACGAGAGCCGTACCACAGCGGAAGAAGGTGTGGAGGACACATTTCCAACACTTACTTAAGCTCCTGGGAATTAGCAGCCATGAGGGATTTAAGAGTCTTATCCGCCAAAGGACATCCAGAAACACTAGAAAAGAATGAGAAAAAAAAATTAACAAGCAACAACATGTGATACTGACGTACAAGTCTGACTCAAATGGTATCCTGAGTGTCTGAACCTCAATTCGGTGTACTGGTTTCTTGGGGTTAGGAACAGAATGACTGGCTTTGATCAGGCTTTGCTGTTCTAAGCAGTCTGGTGTGTTATCAAAAGGAGAGTTTTGAAAGTGAGCTTCCTTGGCTCTAGAAGTCGATGACACAATGAATGCTGGCGACTGCATCACCAAGGGATGATGGCTTAAATGTTCTAAGACAGGCCTCGGTGATGGCTCAAAGGCTGGAATGTAGGCTTTGCACGTGCAAGTCCTGAGTTTGACCCCAGCATAGGCTGACCCTGGTGGGCCCTTGTGCTGCATGGCCACATAAACAGGCCTGACCGCTGAATCATGGGGCCCAGAATCCAGGGCTTGAGCACCATCGGGACAGGACAGAAAACACCAGTGGGCAGTACCCCACCCACACCCACATTTTATACCAGCACCCAGGTAGAAGGCAATTGTCTCTAGAACCCCAAAGTAGTCATTTGATACAAAATGCCCATAAATAAAATGTCATGAAATTTTCTTAAATTAGATGATAAAATGCTTTGTCTCAGTGAAGAGGTGAGTGGAAGGATTAAATACAGCCTCCTTGAACTGTTTAGTGTTCCAAAAATTTTGATTTGCTCTTCAGTATGGGGGTGTTCCATCTCCAATTGTGAGTTGTGGGAGTACTGTTTTATTTCCCTTGGGTCAGTCTGAAAGCTAGCAGAGATAAGATCCTGGAGTATACTCCAAGGTTTGTTTGTGACCAATACTACAATGTAAAAACAAAGCCACCAGTTATTGGTCAATAATCATAATTTTCTAGAGCACGTAAGTGAAAAGATTGAAGACCGAAGCTCTTGTTTTTGAAAAGCAAAACCAAACATGTAGCTACCTACTCACTCTTTATATCCAGGTATTGAAACTCTAGTAATATGGAAGAATTAATTAGAATGAGACATCAGACAGAGACTGTACATGAGTCATCATTACCTGCGATGGGACGCGTAGTTCCCTGTCACGTGACCACTTCCATCACATCCTGGTGTAGGGCATCTGGGTCGAAAAGCAAATCATTAGAGTCAAGTATATTTTGTGAGTTTATTTGCTCTGTTTACTAAGTAGCTTCTGTTTCTCAAGATAAATTATACAGATGGTAGTGAGTTACGGATGTATGTTATGTAAGAGCTAGCACACTAGCTACAAGAAAACTGGCACCATCTTAAGGATCTGCTTCCAGCATACCATCCAAATTTCCGATTTAATGACTGTTGAAAGTGATGCAAAAATATATGTATAACTGATATTATGATTAAACAATGCATGTTATTTTCAATTCTTTGAAAAATGCACATGTGATACTGTGATAAGAAGCAGATATCACAAACCTGTTATTAATAATTAAAGTGATGTTACAAATATGTGCACCAACAATATAAAGAATTTTATGATGTTTTTAAAGAGAAAGACAAGAAATCCTTCTTAAACATTTTAAAGACTTTCTGAAAAAGAGAAAATCTTTGAAAAGATTTGAAATCTTAGAAGACTGAAATGTAAACTGACATTTTATATGGGAAGAAATAGACAGCTTGGTTAAAAAAACACGTGATCTATTTCATCCAAAGCCCACAAAAATTTAAGCCTAACAGAACATGTAAAATACTTTTATAAGGGAAACTATAAATCACTACTAAAATAAATATGGGAAGACACAAGGAAATGGAAACACATTTCCTGTTTGTGTATCAGAAGGATTAATATTGAAAAAATGGCACTCATACCCAAGGTGATATAAAGATTTAATTTTGTCTCCCCATAAAAATACCCAAGACCTTTTAAAAAAGAAAAACATTAACCAAATGCTGCCTAGATTTATAAATTTATGTGGCGTAATAGTGAAAACAATCATGGAAAAAAGATGGGACATTTCTCTTTCCCCAACTTTAACTTATACTGTAAAGCTATTATGATCAAAACAGTATGGTATTAGGATAAAGGCAGATTCTCACACTAGCAGAATGAAATTGAGAGCCCAGTAACGATCTTCAGATATACAAAAAGCTGATCTTTGACAAAGGAGAGGAGAGAAGAGCAAGGAAAAGAAATATCCTCGGTAAATGATGCTGGGTACACTGCTCAGTCACATGTGAAAAGTGATCTCAAACCTCACTCACAAAAATCAATTCAAAATGGATTAATAACCTTGAAATAAGACCCAAGTCCATAAATTATATTGAGGGAAAACATAATCATAATTTTATGACATTAAAATCTAGAGGTAATTCAATGCCAAGTAAATGCAATAGTTCAATGTCATTGGTCAAACAAATGAAGCAAAGATAAACAAATCGTAGCACATCAAATTAAGGTCTTGTAGTACGGAAACAAAAATGATCTGAATAAAAAGACACCCCACATACTGGGAGAGAATATTTTCCCACCCTTCACGTGATTAAGACTTAATATCCCAGATATACAAAGCACTTGTGGAAGTGAACAAAATAATAATCAATCCCCATCAAAAAATGGGCAGAAACTTCTTTAAAGAAGACACAGAGATGGTCAAAACATATAGTATGAAGAAAAACTCGGCATCACCAATCATCTGGGAAACGTGAATCAGAACAACAATGAGTTATTATTTTGTACCAGTGAGACTGGAACACATTAAAAAATAGCAATTATAAGAGGGATGTGGGGTGAAAAGAAGCCTCATCTACTGCTGGTGGGAATATCAAATGGTTCAACTCTTTAGGAGAGCAATAAGGACACCTTTCAAAAATATTAAGAATTAAACTTCTATATGACCCAGCAGTTCCATTTCGTGGCACCCAATCCAAGGACCCCAAAGCTCTATTTAGAAAAGACACTTGCACTCCTATATCTATTGCTGGAGCGATAGCACAGCGGGTAGGGCGTTCGCCTTACAAGCGGCCAACATGGCCGACCTGAGTTCGATTCCTCCGCCCCTCTCGGAGAGCCCGGCAAGCTACCGAGAGTATTCGATATGCCAGACACAGTAACAACAAAGTTTCCAATGGAGACGTTACTGGGCCCTCTCGAGCAAATCGACGATCAATGGGAGGGCACTATTCACATCAGCAAAAAAAACTGGAATCAACTCAAATGTCCAAGAACAGACGACTGGATAAATAAATGATGGCAATATACACAACGGAATACTAGCTGCTACTTGGCCATCGGCAGAGATAAAATCAGGTAAGTTGCCTCTATGTCGATGGAACTGGAGTAAATGAAACCGAGTTGAAGACACCCCGGAGATGAAGATAGCAAAGAAGCACAGTAAGGGAAGAGAAAAATGAACAAAAGCAACAAAATCTGAGAATTGGTCTACCTTGGCGAGGACGGGAGTCGCAAGGGAGAACCTGAGTCAGGACAGATGGGAGCAGATCCTGGAGAAGGCTTTGGTGCTGGCGCGTGGTACACACGAACTCTGTCATCCACAGTGTTGTGGATCACGGAGACCAAAGTAAGACTGAACACCAAACCAAACCAAACCCACAAAGGCAAGTCCTCAAACCCAATAAAGACAACTAATTGTCTTTATTGTTTCTTTGAACTAATAAATTTCAGGCCATGAGCTGAGGTCAAATTCTAAGAATTTTATCTCAGAAACTGGTCACAGTCTGTATACTTAAGAGTGCTTTGGAAGTAAAATAAGAAGAATTATTCTGAAAAACTTCTATAATGATATATTCTTATATATGTAGGCTTCTATAATGATATATTCTTCAGTTTCTCAGTCATCTATTTTCCTCTGCTACTGTTCAAAAGTTAGCCCTTTGGAAAAATAAGAGTCAGCACAGCTTACAGTGGTGTCAATCCATCATGTCACCCATATTTCTGGTTTCTCTTTTGTCCTTTCTAAAGTGAAGGCTTCTCCAAGTCTCAATCATATGATTTACCCATTTAAAGAGTTATTTAGGGATAGCTTTAAAATATTAGAGATTTTAAGTGATATCACTTTGTAAGCATTTTTTGTACTCCTGTAAGGCACATTTCAGTAATTTTCAGGAAATATGAAGACACTGTAAGAGTTGGAACACGTCTCTCCTACAAAGATGTTTAATAGTGTTTTATTTTCAGCACCGGATCCATCAGCAACTTTCATATATGGACAAACATAAAGGGTGGAAGCTACACTTATATTTACCATATAAAGTAGAAAATAACAATAATTAAAATTTGAGCTGAGTTGTCTTACCATGGAGAACAATCTTTCCTCAGAATAGTATACTGGAATATTCAGAACCTGAGAGATGCTTAGGGATTGCCTAGGAATCCTCACATTGGACTTAACTTGCCACTCAGTGTTTAATCTAGCATTACAGTTATTTTAAAAGTCGTTTCTATTTTTTGAATTACTTCTATTAAAAGACCTCGGAAAAGCAAAGAACTGCCAAAGATTTAAAAAAAAAAAACGAGCCAGCTATAAATACTTAGGAAACTTACTTATAAACTGTGTATTTATTTGGCTGCCAACTTTTAATTTCTCAAAAATTTGGTGCTAGAAGGAGGTCATGGAATTAAAAAGATTGGAGGGAGTTAGTGGGAAAAGCTAGTAGCTGACAAATCTTCCAATTAGAGTCTTTCACAATAGCATGTGTCACTACCATTTGCATGGTATATTCTAGAAGGTTTGCAAGTGAAAGTATTCAAATTGGAGAAAGAAAACTAGCTGGTTCCCTCAGCAATGAGAACTCTAAGCACATTTATGTGAATCATAACATAAAATCCTACACAACCTGTTTTTGGTAGGAATTAGGTGTAATTGTTAGAAACATCACTGTCACTGTCGCTGTCCTCCCGTTGTTCAATGATTTGCTCGAGCGGGCCAAGTAACACTGTGAGACTTGTTACTGTGTTTGGCATATCGAACATGTCACGGGGAGCTTGCCAGGCAAATATATTACTAAGACACAGTGAAGCCAAAAAGTAGTTATATTTTTCACCTGTCCTGTAAAATGCGATGGAGAACATGACATTCTAAAAGGTTTAATTTTCAGGGAATTAATTACTGTATTCCAAAAATTATTCAAAATCTGTTAGAATCTCCCCTCTCTGAAGAGAAATCTTCCCTCTTCACACCAAAAAGAAATAACCACTGTAAAATAATCACTTTATTTTTCTATCCAAAATGCTAATGCAGTCTAATTATCAATCTTTTACACTACATTTAGTTTGGAACGGCTCTGATAATGTCCAAAATCTATCTTTAAAGGATAAAAGGAAGCAATTTTTGAAGAAAGTCAAAATAATACGCTGAAAATAAATTCATGAAAGATTAAAAATTGAATATCAGCTTCCTGAGGGAATTGGTACAAGGCCCTTCCAAGATAATTTGGGGAAAGAAACAATGTTGAGTGAAATAGAAATTTCAGAACGTTTGGGGGCATCTGTCACATTACCTCAGCCACAAAAGTCTAGGTAAATATCAAACTCACAAGGGAACACGATATTCGAGCCAGTGGACTAGTAAAGGAATGCAAAATCTAAGATGATTTAAAAATCATTTACAGGTTGAGTCACGGAGCTGAACGGGCCGGGTGTAGGCGGGGGTCTGGGTTCAATCTCTGCCACCACAGGTTCCCCTGAGCACAGAACTGGGAACAGTCGTGAGCGTCATTGGCATTCCCGTCCCCTCTGTCCCCTCTGTCACTTCAGTAGGATAAGTCAGTTCTGGGTTGGCTGGAAATAATTTTACTGGACATCTACTGTGTGCAAGGCCCTCTAGTTGGCAAAGTATTTGAGGCTTAGTCCCTGCTTCTAAGTCAATGAACATGGAACCTGGGGTAAACAAGATGGGGTGGTGAAGAAATGGAACGGAGACAAGAACTAAGAAAGGGGACATCAGTGGCGATGCTGGAGACTCAGAGCCTGTGTCCTGGGGCCAAGGCGGGGGGCACTGCATGTGTGGACACTGGAACTGGGCCTGGGGGATGCCCAGATCAGGGGGGTCTCACGCCAGGAGTTGGGAGGAGGGCGTGGCAACAGGAGGGGGCAAGTGTCAGGATGGGTTCTGAAGTTCTGCCCTCCACATGAGTCTAAGAAGGAGAGATCTGGGGCCAGAGAGACAGTATATCAGGGAGGGTGTTTGCCTTGCACGGGGCCACCCCAGGTTCGATTCCCGGCATCCTATATGGTCCCCGAGCACTGCCAGGAGTAATTCCTGAGTGCAGCGCCAGGAGGAACCCCTGAGCATTGCTGGCGTGACCCCCCAAACAAAACATATAAGCAAACACACAAAAAGAGAAGGGAAGAGCTAACAGGTGAGAGGGGCCATGTGCCGCAAACGGACTGAGGAGGAACAGCACCCTCTGCATCCATCAGGCAGGACCAAGGGGCCAAGACCGGACTTAGGGACATGGGTTCCCGGAGAACTGAAGAATAAAATGGAGAATCCTTGATCTTGGGTTATGAAAGTGCTTAACAAGCAGTTGAGGGAAGGTTGGGTGAGGGGGGTGGAGAGCAGACAGGAGGTGACATAGGGACAGTGGGAGAGGGTCCTGGACGCTGGTGCTGATGAAGGTCACTGTCACAGTCACTGTCCTCCCATTGTTTATTGATTTGCTCCAGCGGGCCCAGTAATGTCTCCATTGTGACAATTGTTCCTGTGTCTGGCATATCGAATACGTCACGGAGAGCTTGCCAGGCTTTGCCGTGTGGGCGAGATACTCTCGGTAGCTTGCCAGGGTCTCTGAGAGGGGCAGAGGAATCGAACTCGGCTTGGCCAGGCTCGGCTGCACACAAGGCAAATGCCCGACCCACTGTGCTATCGCTCCAGCCCTGATGATGGTATAGTAACTTTTTACATCAGTACCAAAAAATCCAAACCTCTCCTTTGTTGGGTCAGGATACTTGATAAATAAGAGGCAATGCCTTTTGGGGACTGGGCAGGTGGGTGTAAGCCAGTCTACAGGGGAGGAAGAGGAGTGCTGTGATTAGTTAGATAGTGTTTAGGGAAAGGCGACACATTAGGATGGAATTTATGTTCCAATTCTGCCTTCCATGGAAGCATCAGAAAACTGCCTTATGCTGCCTTTCATTCTGATTATAATGATCGAGAACCTTGATCCCATTCCAGGTTTCCCAAGTAGCCTTTTTTGGTTTTGGGTCACACCCGGTAGTGTGACCTCTGGATTTACTCCTGGCAGGCCTGGAGACCATATCTTGCTCCTAGCTTTGCCCTTCAAACTCGGGCACATCTTTCTGAGTAAATTCAGATGTGAGTGTGTTCATTTACAATTCCGATCTTCTTGGAGATCTTTTGAGTATCTTGCTGAGCGTGGAGGCTGAGGACTGGCAGGCCCTCTGGTGAGGGCTGAGTGGGGGCGAGCACTGGGCTGTCAGGAGTTGTGGGCACTGGCTTCTGTGGAATTGGCAGGTACCTGCGCCCACAAGGGCTGAAGCGATAGCTCAGCAGGTAGGGCGTTTGCCTTGCACGCAGCTGACCTGGGTTCAATTCCTCCGCCCCTCCCGGAGAGCCCAGCAAGCTACGGAGAGTATCCCGCCCACACGGCAGAGCCTGGCAAGCTGTCCATGACATATTCGATATGCCAAAACACAGTAATGACAAGTCTCACAATGGAGACATTATTGGTGCCCGCTCGAGCAAATCAATGAACAATGGAGGACAGTGCTACAGTGCTAACATAAAATTTAACAGTCTTGCATCCATATTACCTAGTACAGTCTTTTTTTTTTAGAACAAGAAGGCTTGTCTAAGAGAGAAAGACTGGGAAGACACAACAGAGAGGGCGTCATCCTGTGTGTATGAGATGGAGCTGAGGACATGTCAGGCTACGCTGCCTGCATCAGGAGTGTGACCGTCCCTCTGGGGCACCAACCCCATGCCTCTGAGTGCTCCTCGGATGGCTGGTCTCCAATATTTCAGATGATTCGTTTCCCAAAGATTTGTTCACTTTGGGTTTAACCTTCCTAATGTGGGGTGCTAAATTCTTTTTAAAAAATTCTCAGCTTTAACACGTGTGTTTGGCTTTAACATACTTGCTTGCATTCTCTTATATCACGACCACGATCATGATCATCCTGTTGTTCGTCGATTGCCTCGAGCAGGCACCAGTAACGTCTCCTTCGTCCTAGCCCTGAGATTTTAACAAGTGCCACATTCGAGGCTCTTTCAGGTTCAGAAGAATGAGACCCATCATTGTGACTGGTATTTGGCATATTGGGTACGCCACGGGGAGTTTGCCAGACTCTGCTGTGTGGGCAGGTTACATTCGGTAACCTGCCAGGTTGTCCAAAGCAAGAATGAGATAATAAGATGTTCGGGAGCTGGGTTTTATAGTCTCTGGGTCTTGGCCGTTGATGGGATTACACGGCGCCAAGGGGGCAGTTGGTGGGTGTGACCCCTGCCTACTGGAAGATGGAGGATCTGGGTGAAGGATGCTCTCATATACGGGCTAAAATGGTCCCAGAATGGAATACAACAACCTGCGAAGATGGTGGGAAGATGCTCGCTGGTTGGGTGGGTGTTTGAATATTATCTGTAATGAACTACTGTGAACTACTTTATGAAAATAAAATTTATAAAAATCAAAACACATAATTCTCAGCTACTTAGCTGAAGCCCACCCTTAACGTTCCCCGTCTCTTCTGCCCTCTTGGTGGGCTTCATTTCCTCGTGGGCCTGTGGCCTGTGTGTCCCCAGCAACACCTGAGTGTCCTGTCCTTTCCTTTCTCACTCCCTTCCTCTCTGCCGCTGTCCCGGGCCCCATCTTCAGGCTCCTGCATCTGAGTCTGTGCAAATGGTTTAGATCCTCTTCTTGCCTCCAGCCAGTACTGCAGTGCACCCGAACCTCTAAATAGTTCTGCACAACCACACTTCCTGAAACATTACAGCGTTGTTTTGTGTTGCTGTTTAGACAACCTGAGATTTGCTCAGGACAAACCGTGAGCCAGCTAGTCCTTCTTCTCGGGCACCCGTCCTGCTTCCTTCACTCCCTCACACTCTCTAGGTCTGGTTCTGGCTCTTGACAACACTGAGAAGCTACACTCCACAAAGCCTTGTTCCTGATCTCTGCTCTGCTCCCTCTGCTGAAGGTCGTAGAGCTTTAATTAGAACTTAATACACTCAGATCCCTCGTCTTTAAACTTTTCTGAGCCATCAAACTTTTTAAGAAGGTGCTGGGAACCATGGATTCTCTTATCCAAATAATTAATTTTTAAGTTTAATACAGCTAGTAGACTCTTTGATGCCTATAGTTTCTATTGGGACCAGTGGATCTCAGGCGAAGATTTTCTCATCAAAACATCAACATTTCTCATTTTTTTTTCTTTTTTCTTTTTGGGTCACACCCGGCGATGCACAGGGGTTGCTCTTGGCTCTGCACTCAGGAATTATTCCTAGAGGTGCTTGGGGGACCCTATGGGATGCTGGGAATCGAACCCGGGTCAGCCGCGTGCAAGGCAAATGCCCTACTCGCTGTTCTATCACCCCAGCCTCTGTTTTTTTTTTTTTTTTTTTTTGCTTTTTTGGGTCGCACCCGGTGATGCACAGGTGTTGCTCCTGGCTCTGCACTAAGGAGTTACTCCTGGCGGTGCTCAGGGGACCATATGGGATGCTGGGAATTGAACCCGGGTCTGCCGCGTGCAAGGCAAACGCCCTACCCGCTGTGTTATCTCTCCAGCCCGCCAACCCCTGTTTTTAATCAATTAGATTTCTAACTCTCTTAATGTGATCCGATCCTCATGGTTCTGAACATAGGTACCTACATAACAATCAATATTGACTGGCTGAACTTGCCCGAAGACATTCCTCAAGTCCTAACCTATGTAGATCACATATGATGACAAGATTATTTGACACTTTGTGTTCCAGAATCTTACAGAATGTGCCATAGCACATCACTCACGTGATTAGTTCCTTTTTGAGATCTCTCGTGTGGAGCTTGGGCTTAGGGCTTGGAATAGAGGATTCTCCAGGGAACTTCTTTTCTTCTAAAGTTTCTAGGGCGCTGACTGGATCTTTCTGGAAAAAAATACGAATGCACAGAAGGCGTTAGGGAACATCGAGATATGAAGTTCTGGATATGAAGTTCTTCAACTGGATATGAAGTCAGCAGAGTAAAATTTGAGTTTTGACTTCAAGAGTTCCTAATAGCTAATACTAGATAGTAGATAATATTCCTCATAGAATTTACAGATGAAATAATAAGATGATGAACACAAGGCCATGTCCTGATTGCTAGGCATTTTTTATTTTAAGTGATAAAAAGAAATTTAATCCATGGTGCTAGTTTTAGATATATTTTGGTAAATAAAACAACAAAAAAATTTTATGGCATATATAATTAAGCTGTGAACTTACTATTTTTCATAAGGTAAAGGTAAAGGTAAAGGCCCTCCCATTGATCATCGATTTGCTGGAGCGGGCCCAGTAATGTCTCCATTAGAGACTTTGTTGTTACTGTGTCTGGCATATCGAATACGTCATGGGGAGCTTGCCAGGCTCTGCCGTGCGGGTGAGATACTCTCGGTAGCTTGCCGGGCTCTCCGAGAGGGGTGGAGGAATCGAACTCGGGTCGGCCATGTTGGCTGCGTGCAAGGCAAACGCCCTACCGCTGTGCTATCACTCCAGCCCTATTTTTCATAGTTAATTATATAACAAGTACTTCCCAGAGCACATAAAGTTACTAGTTGTTTATCTACACAACAATTATTGGTAAGGGAAAGAAATATGGTAATATTGAATCACACAAAGTTTTAAACAGGAAAAAATTTAGGTTACAGAATGTTCTCACAAATAATGTGTGATTATTTAAATTCAATATTTAAACTCATGTTTGACTTAATAATTTATTTTATTTTTACATCACTATCCGTTTTTCTTTTCTTTAGTGAAGCAAAATAGTTTCATTTAAAGAAATACTTAGAGAAATATGAGAGGGAGGAAGGAGAGAGATGCGTTCAAAGAAAGACATTTCAGGAGAGAGCACAGGCTTCTCTAGAGTGGAAAAAAGCTCACTTCCTGCTTTTAAGTTCTTTCTGTTAAATTATTATCTTGCAAGACTTTATTCATTTAATAGAATTTCTTGTTGGATATTTATTTTCCTGGCTTAATACTGATCTTGATTACATAAGGAAGTTCACTGATCGTTTCAAATGATTTATTTATTCTGTGATACATAAAATCTTATAGAAACTCATGTTGTTTTTTCTCAATGACATAATTGTCTTTCATACATAACTTTTGTCACAAATAGAATACTTTATGAATTTAATACTTAGTTCATATTAATTTAGGATTGAAACAAGACTATAGAAAGAAGATATAGTAAACTGCTCTAAATCTCAAAAGTACTGATCAATTAAAGGTAAAAAAAAAACTTAACTTGAATAATCCAAGAAAAAGTGAGGTCAAATGGATATGAAATAGTGGTAGAAAAGTATGATTTTCATAATCTCAAGTCTACCTTCAAAATAAGTAGAATGAAAGTCCTTAAATTTTTCCCCCTAGAAGAATATTTCTAACCATTAAACTTGGACACAAAGGTAAATTCAATGCTTTTCTTACTTATTTGGATAACAATTCAATAATTTAATTTACAGAAGGCCATACAATGGTGAATATTTTAGCAAAGTATCTTAAGCAGCACTAACTATAGAGAAAAATAGTGCAGTCTGACTTGGCATAATTTATTGCTTGATATCAATTACAAATATTCCATTTACTTTATTATAAATGCTGAAAATAGTTTTTTACATTTATGCATTCTGCATTATCAGATATAAAAAATGCGCTTAAAATTTTTACTGTGTGGTTAGGCCTACAATGAGTGATTTCAGATGTAATAAACACGTATAGGCTTTCTTCTTGCAATTATTCCTTAAGCAGTACAATATAACTACTACTTACATATTGCTTCCTTTGCATTATATATTGCAAACAATTTGGAGATGATTTAAGGTCTATAAAGATATACGGAGTTTACATGCAGATAATTGCCATTTTCTACAGGCAGTTTGAGAATCTGTATTTGGTGGAAGGTCAGGAACCAAACTCCAGAGGAACAATGACAACTATAGTGAAAAATATATATCACTTAAAAATCAAGAAAAAATGTGCAGTTCATTAACACTTGTCTAGTATGATACTTTTAAATGTCTCTTCCATAAAATTCATAGGAAAAGTTATAAATGATGCTTGCCTGTTTGCTATTTTATCGTGTAAATATTTAAAGTGAAGCAATTCCTAACAATAACGACTTAACTAGTGAAAATGCCATCACTTCCGTCAGTTGGTGCTATCTAGATTTGGGTGGATCATAATTTGCGTGTGATTTATCAGTATCTCGACTTACTGGAAGCTAGATACAAATGCAAAATCTAAGATTGTCTCAGTGTGGAACAGCCTTTTGTTGTTTAGCTACTGAATTTTTCACACACAAAAATGTCTTAAAGTTAAAAGATCAAATTTATTATTTTCTTTCAGAGAGTTAACATAACTCTTATAGTTAACTCTCTGAAAGAAAATAATCTTCAAGATGTCATGCACATCTAGAAAGAGAAAAATTTATCAATGTTGCAAGCAGAATTTGTTTTATGACAAGGGAAATAAATTTTTGAAATAAATGATTAATTATGCAGGACTAAATTATTTCCCTAAAATACATACAAAAATAATTCTTGATGAATAATCAGGTATAGTAATATGTGGTGATGATTTAATGGTATAATTTTATGGTAACTTTAAGAGTACTATGAATTCTTATGGATGCAATTGAATTTATGAAGTAATCATTCTTATTCCTTCGCCTTGTTCATCAATGAAATAATTATTTGTACTTATTTATTTGGAATCACACTTGGCATTGCTCAAGGCTTACTTCTGCCGAGGGACTCTGGATCACTGCAGATGGAGTTTGGAGGATGGTGTGGGGTGGCTGAGATCAAGCCGGGGTCGGCTGTGTGCAGGCAAGTATCTTGTCTCTGTCCTACTGCTTTGGTTCTCCTTGAAGAATTATTTGTTTGATCAAATACCCACCTTACGTAAGATCAGCTCCCAAATATCATGTAGCTTAAGAAAAATCTATTCTAGTAAATTTTTATTTTAAGCATTAAAGTGTATTTATTTTGAAGATCATAATTTTATCCTAGGACTATGTCGGAGAGAATTTGGCATTTATTTGTGTGTTTAGAGTAGATGTGTTCAAAGAAATTCCTTTAATGTACAGATGGAAGTTTATATTGATTTCAGTAAAGACCAGAACATAATGGTAACATGAATAACAGATAATAGCATCTGGCACTTTTAACATTTTAAGCCCTGAAATCTTTGGAGAACTGACAGTTGAATAAAACTGACAGCCCTAGTTATTTCTCAGCACTTTCCTTTTGAGATATTTTGAGTTTTTTCCAGATTCAGAATTTTTTTTGAGGGGCATCTGGACAGGCTATTTCACTGAGAGAGACAGACAATATTTTCTGAAAATTTCCGCCAAAATTAAGCAACTGTTATGCATATCAACCAGATAACAATGCATTAGAAATAATCCACTGCTGGTTTTACGTACACGTGTGTGTGTGTGTGTGTGTGTGTGTGTGTGTGTGTGTGTGTTTGGTCGGGAAGCCTGGGGAGGGGGAGAAAGATGTGTGTGAGGGAGCAGAAACTAGTTCTTATTTATTTATCTCTTTTTACCCTTTGGGCCAGAGCAATAGCACAGTGGGTAGGGCGTTTGCCTTGCACGTGGTTGACCCGGGTTTGATTCCTCCGCCCCTCTCGGAGAGCCCTACAAGCTACCGAGAGTATCCCGCCCACATGGCAGAGCCTGACAAGCTCCCCGTGGCGTATTCGATATGCCAAACACAGTAACAACAAGTCTCACAATGGAGACATTACTGGTGCCTGCTCGAGCAAATCGATGAACAACGGGACGACAGTGCTACAGTGCTTACCCTTTAAACATGGATCCCCCATTTTTACAGAGGTACCATGGTGGACAATACTGTTAATGAGAGTGTCATGCATCCGTTGGACTGGTCAGTTCTCCAAGGGCCACAGCATGTGTAGGCTACGTGCAGGCTAGCTGGTAGATCTCAGTGGAGACAGAAGCTGGCCAGTCCCTGGATGTGGCCTGGGAGGTCATGGCTAGGAGGAACTTTGATCCTGCCATCCTGTGGGTCCCGACCCACTTGACTGAATGAGGGTTCGTTTAAAAATACATCCCTTAAGGATTTCTTGCCATTGAATGTTTGACTTGCGTTCTTATTTTGTATGCCTGGGTACAAACGTTGGTCATGAATTGTGACCTGGGCAAAATGGAATTGCAAATTTGACCCCTCTCTATAGGTCACTTTTGGGTCCACTATGTGCTATTTTCTTGTTCATGTTCTCTTATTTTTTCATTCTTTTTAAACCTTTCTCAATATTTCCTGTTTATTTTGCATCTCCCCTGTTCCCTCCCTGTTAGCCTTTTCCCTTTCCCTTCTCTCAACTGCCTTTTTCCTTTTCTCTTTACTATAGGGAACTGCATTTCTTAATCTTCCATTTGTTGTTTGTTTCTTGGACCACACCTGGCAATGCTCAAGGGTTACTCCTGGCTCTATGCTCAGGAATCACCCGGCAGTGCTCAGGGGATCGAACATGGGTCAGCCACGTGCAGGGCAAGCACCCTTCACTGTCTCCCTGGGCCCCATTTCTTAATCTCTCGGTGGCCAAGGACTAACAACTTAACCTCCTTGGGCCTCAATTTTCCCATCTAAAACCTTTGGAAATAATCCTGCTCAGTAGAGTGTTTAGGCTTATGATATACTAGGGACGAAAATCTGTCATCTATTCTCTTATGGAATATGATGTCTTCTGATATCATCACATTCTGTATGTTGAATATTATTCTATTTTTTCAAGCGTATTCCTTTCCAGTATCAGATGTCTCATTTTCAGAATTCAGCACAGGATGTGACTATTCTTTTTTTTCATAGTTTATTTCTATATTTTTTATGGATTTTGTTTAATATTCGGAGAGCCCGGCGAGCTACCGAGAGTATTCGATATGCCAAACACAGTAACAACAAAGTCTCCAATGGAGACTTAACTGGGCCTGCTCGAGCAAATCGACGATCAACGGGAGGGCCTTTAACTTAACTTAACTTGTTTAATATTATTCCACAGAAGTGAAGTTCATGAGTATAAGGCTCAAAAAAAGGTGATTTTCATTGGTTCTTGCAGATTCGATCACATATTTTTCAAGGAATAAAATGTGCTCCTGTCTCCGCAATCGGGAATCACCCCTGGCAGGGCTTCAGAGACCACCTGGGGTGCCATGAATCAGGCTCAGACTGAATGCTTTCAAGGCAAGTGTCCTACGGGCTGTACCTTCACTCCAGTCCCAGTCTTTTGGGGGTGGGAGGATGTGACTATTCTTGGTTACTCCGGCATGAATGGAGACACAAGGAGCACCGGATAAGAATGCGCACTAGGAAATTGTCAATTTGTCAACTCAAACCTGGGACAAGCACTTCGATTCCATGAACTCTGCATCACCAAGGTTTTCTGTTTTTCTCTGTGACAGTGAGCTTCCACATGGTTCGTACATTTTAGATTTCAGAACACTGAGTTCAAAAGTTGGAGCAGTGAGTCTATACTGTCAGACGTAGAATAGGTGAACCATTCTAAAAGGAAGAAATCTAAACTAAGCAACCCCTTCCCCATTTCCAATGATTTTCTAGGAAATAAAACACTGTCACTGATATGTTATCATTATATGAATACAGTCCAGCTGAATTCATAAAGCTATATGAATTCATATAATAGCTTTAGGAATCATATAGCTATAGGAATCGATATGTTTTGTGAAATTACAAAAAAAAATAAAAACGAAAATCAAAGACAACATGTCTAAGAAACAGAGACGTCATTTCCTGAGTAATTGATAAACAAAGCTGAGGAGGACCCTGGGGGTCTTGATTTACTGATTTCCCAAATGGGAAGACTCAAACTACAAAGGGGGAAACGTTGGCGTTTTAACTGAGAACACAACATTGTAACTGGCGGCAAAAAACCCAGGAGACTCCACATGCAGATACATTTGAGGCAAATTTGTTTCCCTGCAATTAGTGGTCAGACTCAGTTTCTTTTTTTTTTTGTTTGCTTTTGAGCTACACCCAGCAGTGCTCAGAACTTACTCCTGGCTCTACGCTCAGGGACCACTCCTGGAAAGCTGTGAAACCATATGGGATGCCAGGGATTGAATCCAGGTGAGCCGCACACAAGGCAAGTGCCCTACCCACTGTACTCTCCGACCCACACCCACTTTCTGGCACTATGTAGGACTGGAAAGAATGTCAAACAAGGTCCCCTTAAGGCAGAATCATGATGAGGAGGACGGAAAGCTGAAATCCTGACCCTGCATGTGACACGAAGGGCCCGCCCAACAGAATGGGTTTATTTATCCCCGTGGGATTCCTCCAGGAACAAAGATGCAGTTGTGAAAAGCACTGCCTTTTCTGTACTATACGTGATTGCCACTGAAGCTTCACCAACACGTCTGTTGCTCTAGACATTTGGCCTTTCGTTTAGTGGCATGGGGTAGACAGAACACACCGATGACAACCGACGAGAATAAGCGATCCTGTGCCTCAGAGGGCATTCGCCGGATTTCTAAAACTGACTTGCGTGGAGTGTGATTGAAAAGTCTTCATCTCTACTTACTGCTGCTTCCTGCAGCTTCTGCAGCCGTCTAAGATTTTTTTCTGATTCAGACCAATCAAGCAAGTCAACCAGTTAACAAGACTATCAATAGCTTGTCGGATTATTAAAGCAGATCAGAGTTAGATGTAACCCTTGAACCTTTTTACAAGCTCGAAATGATGGAGGTGGTAGTGGGGATGTATGTTTGCAAGTTCTTGGCTGTCACGTAAGCGCCATCAGTGTATTATTTGTAGGGACACATTTATATTGATTAGAAGCACTCATGTTTTCAGAAATCGCTCCTTTGAAAAATCATGATGCACAAATGAAGCTCCGTGAGAATACTTTAGGGAGGTTGGAGTGTGGTTGAATACATAGTCTCTCTCCTTCTGATGGTGCTTCCTCCCACAGCCTACCACAGCCTCGCTTGAGCCCAAGAAGAATAAAAACCAAACAAACAGCTTGCAAAGTCCAACGAGGAAGTGTTCTTGTCTGATTCTCTTTATGTTTCTCTGTGATGGTGTGGGTGGTGGTGCTGAGTTTGCTTGGGGATCCCCACCTGAGCACTGCGCACGGAGCTGGCTGCATCACCCTGTTTATCAGTGTACCTAATCACATGTCAGGCTTCCTAGCGAAGGTGAACATACACGTCATGAGAATCTGTCCTATTTAGTCCTGTGGCAGCTTGGGTGGGGAGAGACTGGTGCGAGTGTGAAGATGTGAAGACACAAAGAAAGCAGAAATGAAAGGAGGGAAGGAAGAAATTTAAAAAATAACCCAAATTTGTCATCAGTGCTTATGTAAATTAAGCTCTGAGATGTTAAAGGTACGTTACAAATCCCCCTTTTTTTTGCTTTTTTGGGTCACACCCAGCTATGCTCAGGGGTTCTTCCTGGCTCTGCACTCAGGAATCACTCCTGGTGGTGCTCGGGGGACCCTATGTGATGCTGGGAATCAAACCTGGGTTGGCCGCACGCAAGGCAAAAGCCCTACCCGCTGTGCTATTGCGCCAGCCCCTACAAATCCCATTCATCTCCCCCCAAATATCTCTAAACTTCAAAAAACTTGAAAATGCCTTATGCATCTCCACAGGGAATGAATGACTCATTTATTGAAGCAGATCAACTGGGAAGCCTATCCACAGCTTTCCTGACTCACTATCGTAAGTAGGGGAACATTATCCATTAGGAAATTATGGAAAGGTGGAATGCTCTGGTCAGGAATTCTTTTGAATCACACAGTCAGGGCTGATCTGACCTAACCATGAGCCTGAGATCATGAAGACAAAGTGGGAGTGAGTTCCCCCAGGGTTACTCCTCAGTTACATCCACTAACTTCCAGGAGTGGACTCACATGGAGGCAAATACACAAATGTATTTCCTTGAGGGGAGACCTACAGGGGTTAAGGCATTTGCTTTGCACACAGCCAAACCCTTTTCAACACCCTCGCACGGCATTTGTTCTCCTGAGCACAGAGCCAGGGTTAAGTCCTGGGCACTGATCAATGTAGCCCAAGAACCCCAAAATGTATCTCTCTGACATTGGGGTTGATACCACTTAAGCCTACAACAGTCACAATCCAGCACCTCACTAAATGACTCTATACATAACTCTGCTAACAGGGCTCCTCCGTGATACCAAGGAAAGGAATTTGACATGAAACTTCTTTGCCCCGGATTTAATTTCATCGTCTATGCTCTGGTTCATAAAATTAGTAAGCTGGTATTTCAGGTTAGAGTGTACACTGCCTCCTAAAGTCTGCCACTTCCAAAGGGTAAGCTAATATATAATTTCTTAAGTACAGTTCACAATTGCAGCTCGAATGAGATTATAGTCACGACCATGCTTCATTTTAGTTGAGCAACAGAACATGCTGCATTGATACGTTTTATCTGAAATGTAACATCGTCATTTGACTAACACATAAACAAGGTGAAAAACGGTGTGTATCACCTGAACAGGAATATGAAAAGGAATTTGGGGGAAAAAAGTTAATAATACTCCCCGATCATGCTCTGGCTTAAATTTATTGAGCGACAGATTCAAGCAATACCTCTTTCTCTTCCTCTGCCTTGCCGTGAGTTTTGCTGTAGTTGATAGGCGTGTCCCATCCCTGCTGGTCACAGAGGGCTTGATAGAACGCTGCATTGACCAAAATGCTGCTGGTTTTGAAGGGGGAGGAGGAGGGAGTTGGGATAGAAGCATTCGAGGAGGCGAGGGGGGCAGCTTTGTCCAGGATGCGATGTTTTTTCATGCTTAAGTCCAACGTGCCGTTTTCGTCCACTTCTATCTCGGCTCCCTGGTAGACAACAGGAAACAGAAAAACATTTCAGCGTTTTCCAGTTTATAGCCTAGCGATGTGGGGCTTTTAAGGGATAACTTAAAAGGTAAGCCTTGATGTAAGTATATCTGATTCCAAATGGAGCTTTCTGGTTTGCGTTGGTTAATGTTCGATTCTTAGGCAGACTTTCGCGAGCGGGTCCAATCGTGAGATCCATTTCTGGATTTAGGCAGAGTCAGCTTAATTTAAGATGTCCCCGATACTAAATATTTTGAGTACACCTGTTACATTCCTATCTAAACCTGTAAACAGCTTTAAATGGTTCTGTTTCAGTTTGCAGAATGATCATTCTCAGCTCACTATTGAGAGCATTAATACCTGTGTCAGTCAAAAGGCACGCCAGTGCGTTTGATGCTCCCAGACTACAACATCAACCTAAGAAAAATATGCAGAAATAACCGCTGGGAAGAGATCTTTTCACTGATGCAGTTGACAAATATGAGAAGGCCGTGTTGCATGGGGGAGGGGCGGGCGGTGAAAAGCAGAATCACTAAGTTGACCTTTGGGTTCTGTTGCCCACGTGGTGACTGGGGGTTGGAGTCTTACAGAACAAAGTGAGTTACTTTTCATACATATTGTATAAAATTGAAAACTGATTCCCAGTCTCCTGCCCCCACGCCTGGCTGTCCTCACAGGGGCCCTTGGAGGGGGGCAGGTTGAGCTTCCCTCCCCACCCCGACCAGGGCTCCGGCAGCCGAAGACCTCCAGAACCAGCCACCACCATGCTGAGACCACTCTCCACATGCATGAAGGTACTAGCAGAGGAACAAAGGCATGCGGGTCCCAGGGCTGAGATCTCCAAGCCTGCTTGGATCGGGACTAAGCATCCTCCACCCTGATCCTCCACCTTCCAGTAGGCAGGGGTCACACCCACCAATAAGGCCCCCTGGCGCTATGTAATCCCTTCAACGGCCAAGACCCTGAGACTATAAAACCCAGCTCCCGGAAGCGACATCTTATTATCTCATTCTTGCTTTGGACAACCTGGCAGGCTCCCGAATGTAACCTGCCCACACGGCAGAGTCTGGCAAACTCCCCATGGTGTACCCAATATGCCAAATACCAGTAACAATGATGGGTCTCATTCACCTAACCCTGAAAGAGCCTTGACTATGCACTTTTAAAAAAATCTCAGGGCTAGGACAAAGGAGACGTTACTGGGGCCTGCTCGAGGCCATCGACGAACAACAGGATGGTCGTGATCGTGATTGTGGTTCCCACTCTCAGCACCCTTCTTAGAACACCTGCAGGGCAGGCTTGGTTTGTTAGCAGGCTTTAAGATCGAGGCCCCAGCACAACGCCTTAAGGCACTGCATTCACCGCTCTCGGCTTAAACTTGCCAGCACTCATCTGTGGTGTCATGCAGTGCACATGCTAGAACACATCTTTAAGAACGTGAGAAGAACATGTCTGCTCTTCAGAACCCGTCTGCTCCTAACTGGTTGAAGCTTTTGGTACTTTGGCAATTCACAATTCCCCTACTTTCTCCACTCTGGGCAGTAAAAGTAGGCGTCTTCTTCGTATAAGTTTGTAAGACCCCTGAGTCATGTGGTACCAACCCTTCGCCAAGGGTTTCATTGTTTTAAGTCCCCATTAGCTTCTGCCTCTCCACCTCCCAGGACGTTGTCATTGAGGTTGAACCCAATGGCTGGGCTCCGAAAGCTCATTGTTTGTCCTTGACTTAGAAAATCAAAGAACTTCTGTTTGCTTATTTTACCTGTCAAGTTCCTGCTTTCAATCTCCGCATCTACGAGCCAGACACACTTTATTATATTTGCAAGACATAAATACACTTCTAACATGTTTGTACGAAGGTGCTTTGACTATATCTTTCTGCCCTTTTTAGCAAATAGTTTAATCTCCTGTGATAGTTTTAAGCCCTGAATTTGACAGTACAGCTTATCCGGGATAATAACTTAGTAACCACCACATCTTAGGCCATCTGTATAATATCAAATACATTTTATACGGGCATTAATAAACCTTAGTTACAAAATCCAAGACATTAACCATATCAGAGCCATGCTCCCTCTTGGTGATAAAAGAATTTTCATGTGCTCTACGCTGAGCACATGAGAACCATCTTTGACTTGATAGCTTGTATGTAGCTGCAGAAATAAACCGAGTTACAGTGATAATGAAGTTTAGTGACCAATGTCGTGTAAAATGAAAAATATTGTAGTGGCTGAGATTTTTCACACACACACATCCCCCATTCCCTGAAAAAAAAAAGGAAAAAACCAACAACTTGGGCTAAGACTGCACAACCAACATTCACATAAAATTCCAGACCTCTGTGACAGATGGCTTAGAAAAAAGAAAGCCATGTGACTGGGCTGCAGTTTATAGTGCAAAACCCATAAATAGTGCAGATCCAATCTCAGTAAAAAAAAAAAATACACCAACTACTCCAAGACAAAATATATATTTGAGTTTATACCCCCCAAACTCTTAAAAGTAATTAAGAAATAGAAGATTTTGGAACTGCGATGATAATACATCTTGAATAATCGCGTGCTGATTGAGAAAACAATCCCTCTTCATATCGAAAGAGGTGCCTCTCTCCGTCCCAGACACAGGCGGCTGCTCCGAGCACCTGACTTAGCTGGGAGAGCACACATGGGCAGCCGGTCCAGATGGGCTTTAAGTGAGGGCACAGATGCAGTCAACAATTACACACAGTCCTGGGGAAGGGCCCCTCTGCCCAGACACGGCACACAAGTTTACTGCGTGGACTGCATGGATTTTTATTCAGAGCAGTGTCAGTAGACACCACTTCTCTGTACGCTCGCGACTCCAAATGGCAGGGCCAAAGGAAAGGCCGGTGTTGGGAGGGCCACAGGGAGACGTGAGCGAGGAAAGGGAGGAAAAGGGGGAGAACGAGGTAGGAGAGAATATCAGCACCCCACCGAACGCCCAACTCAATCCTCACCTTAGTCTAGACTTGTGACATTTTGATTTCTCAAAAACTGCTTTTGCAGTTGAGCACTTGGTCACTGCACTTTGTCCCGGACCCCTGAGCCTCCAATATTTTCTAAGTTAGTGATAATATGACATGGTTTGAACAAGGAAAAAACATAATTTATTCATAATTATTCATAATTCAAAATTATTCATAAATTATGAAAGGGCTGGAGCGACGGCAGAGCGGGTAGGGCGTTTGCCTTGAAAGTGGCCCACGCAGCTGACCCAAGTTCGATTCCTCTGCTCCTCTTGGAGAGCTGGGCAAGTCACCAAGAGTGTCTCGCCTGCACAACAAAGCCTGGCAAGCTCCCCGTGACATACTCGATATGCCAAAAACAGTAACAACAAGTCTCACCATGGAGACGTTACTGGGCCCGCTCGAGCAAATGGATGAACAACGGGAAGACACTGCTTCAGTGCTACTCATAAATCTACAATAAAGGAAAATCATAATTTCACTTATTTTAATTTTTATTAAAGGTTTTCATAAAATTAAAATTTATGTTTTCAATGTTTTGAGTGTAAATATAGGTTTAATACTCTTAATGTACTTTTCAACTTAGGAGCAACGTCACACCCTCTATTGCAGGCACTAATGAATAAAAAGCACACTGTATAGTTTATTTATTCATTAAATTATTGAGAAATGTTTCCATTTCAAAGCCACAATATTTGGGGGGGGTAAGAAAAAATGTAAATATATTGTTCCTGTCTTCAAGATACTTATTGTGCGAACACAGATTTATTTATTTATTTATTTATTTATTTTTGGCTTTTTTGGGTCACACCCAGCGATGCTCAGGGGTTCCTCCTGGTTCTGCACTCAGGAATTACTCCTGACGGTGCTCGGGGTACCATATGGGATGCCAGATGCCAGGGATCTAACTTGGGTCAGCTGCGTGCAGGGCAAATGCCCTCCCCACTGTACTAACGCTCCGGCCAGAACACAGATTTTTACAGGAGTGATTTAATAGAGTGTAAGGTCCTGTAAATTAAATCTTGAGGTATTTATTATAATCTTCATCTGTATTATAGAATAGGAAATGGTTTAGCTGTATGCTCAAAGAAATGAATGAAATATTGCACATTTATTTTGTGGAACTTGATGCGATCAGTGAAACTGTAATTATGAGGACTGTGTTCGACATGGAAAAACCTACATCACCGAAAAAACTCAGCAGAATGATACACAAAGCAGAAAACAGCCTGATGTTTTGATTCTGCGACTTAGGTAAATGGAAGTATTTTTTTCTGAGGAAGAATATAAGGGAAAACACGGATGCTATTGGACTTGTATTTAAAGGATAGGCTTACTCCAATATCTTTATTTTCACAAATTTTAATTTTTTTGTTTGTTTCTGAGCCATGCCTGGGCATGTGCAGGGGTTACTCCTGGTTCTGCACTCAGAGTTCTCTCCTGACAGTGCTCAGGGGGCCATCTTGGGCCAGCGGCTGAAGCCAGGTCAGGTGTGTGCAGCACTTGCTCACGGCACTACCTCCCGGGCCCCTGATCCTCCAATATTTTTCTAAGTTAGTGATAATATTACACTGTTTGAACAATGAAAAAGCATAATTTATTTATATATCTACAATAAAGGAAAATTATAATTTCGCTTTACAAGCTCTATTTGTGAAAATCATTAATTTAACACACGAACAGAGTAAGACAGCATTATTTTCTTATTTGGCAAGCATACTATTAATGCAGGTCACCCACATTTTCCCTTTTTGATTTGGCGAAGAGGAAGTATTAAATTTTACTTAGGTCGCTTCACCTGAGTTTCTCCTATAATAGTTTGAAGGATTCAAACTATTATCTCTAGACTCATCGTCTCCCACTTTTGCCTGAGTATATTCTATTTAGCGAGTATCGTTCCTGTATCAAAGCTATTCGGAGCATATGTCAAGGTAGGTAGGTATTAACAACAAATTAAGTGGAAATAGCTCATTCTTAGTATTTAGCAACGACTAAGTGCCTGAAATTAAAATAGGGC